AATCCCTAAATTTAGTCTTTTTAATAAAAAAATGTTCGAAAACCCTGTTAACCTCTTTCATATGTCTATTTATATCTGTTGGAGTACCCCAAGGCAACATTTTAAGACCATCTTATCACTTCTAAGTTTTTATTAAAATAATTTTCCATAAAATACACGTGTCGTTCTTTTGATATTTAAAAATTACTTCGTAAAATTATTATTAATAATTAATATAAACAATTTTATTGATATTTGATTTTTAGCAAATTTGACACCTATTGTATCATTTTGAAAATTGTTCGAAAAACCCATTAAACTTTTATTATTAATATTTATTTCATTGAAAATGCATCGAAGTGTCCTTATAAGTCTCACTTATATTTAAAATCCCTAAATTTAGTCTTTTTAATAAAAAAATGTTCGAAAACCCTGTTAACCTCTTTCATATGTCTATTATATCTGTTGGAGTACCCCGAGGCAACATTTTAAGACCATCTTATCACTTCTAAGTTTTTATTAAAATATTTTCCATCAAAATACACGTGTCGTTCTTTTGATATTTAAAAATTACTTCGTAAAATTATTATTAATAATTAATATAAACAATTTTATTGATATTTGATTTTTAGCAAACTTGACACCTATTGTATCATTTTATAAATTGTTCGAAAAACCCGTTAAACTTTTATTATTAATATTTATTTCATTTAAAATACATCAAAGTATCCTTATAAGTCTCACTTATATTTAAAATCCCTAAATTTAGCCCTTTTTAATAATAAAAATGTTCAAAAAACCTGTTAACCTCTTGCATATGTCTATTTATATCTGTTGGAGTACCCCAAGGCAACGTTATGAGACCATCTTATCACTTCTAAGTTTTTTATTAAAATAATTCTCCACACGTGTCGTTCCTTTGATATTTAAAAAGCACTTCGTGTTATTTTAACGCCACTTGCAAAAGCTCTGAAGCGCAAAAAAATAACAAGAAAAATCGTCAAGTTGAGCTTTATGAGTAGAAGGAGTTGGTGTAGATTCCTTTGATGTTGAAAAATATTGTAGGTTATTTAATTTTGTTCAAATACTTTAAATATGTCATTCATATTAATTGAATGGTTTGAAAGTTATAGAAGAAAAGCATTTGAACAATTCAAATTAGAGTACTCTGAGTTGATGTAGGATCTAAAATGTTAGAAAAGATTGTAAAGTATTAAATTTTGAACACTTGCTTCATAATTATCTGTGAAAAAGAGTGATAATGAAATATAAGTAGAAAGAGAGTGAACATTCAAGAAAGAGACAGCAAGAAGCGAATGAAAGAAAGACCGAGAGAGCGAGAGAGAATGGAACAAAGACAGAATAAGAAGATGTGAAAGTAATATAGAGTGAGAAGGACAAAAAGACAAAGCAAGCGAAAAAAAGAGAAAAAGACATAGAACGTGAAAGAGATTGGAAAAAAGTGATAATGATAGATAAGTAGAAAGAGATAAGTTTTAGTATAGATTTTAGAGTATACCGAGATGCAATTTAAACACTTTCGTCTTGTACATCATTCATAATAATCGAATGGTTTAAGATTTATAATTGTAATTAAAAATGTATACACTTTATTGCATACTCCACTTTAGATTGCAGTTGTAAAGTATACCGAGGTTATATACGAGTATTTCAGTTCACAATTAAATGAAAAAAATCTAAATCAACTCGGTTTTACATTCAAACAAAAGTTATCTAAATAAAAGTATTCATTTGTATATATTTATATATATATATATATATATATATATATATATATATAAATAGATAAATATTTGCATGATCGATTTGGCAAATATACAGAAAAGTATAAAATTCAAACATAAATTCCATTTTAAAATAAAATTGAATTCAAAATGGATTCATTGAAGCGTCAAGAAAGATTCTAATATGAATTATTGATGAAAACTGTATATATATATATATATATATATATATATATATATTAAAAAATGATCAAATCATTCACCTGATAAAGCACAAACTTTTTATGTACGAAACGTATTGAAAGGTGTACAAATAACAAAACAATCATCAATATTTCCATTAAATTTATTTTCTCTATGGAATAAAACCCGGTTGAGACGATTTTTTAAAACACGTCTTAAGCGAGAAAGCTTATTAAGCAGGGCAGCAACAATTTATTTCAAAGTGCAGACATAGAGTGGCGTATTAAGCGAGAAGTCGTACAAGCATACGAGGTTATACTGTAATTAATTTAAACATTAATAACAATAATAAATTAATAAAAACAGATTATAAAAAATACAAAATAATTATTGTATAAATATTCATTATTTAACAAAATTACTGAATTTTTGCAAATTTCGTACACTTTTTGATTAAAACAAATTAAATTGTTTTTTTTTTAATTCTTAAAAAATTCTAGCAAAGGACTAGTTAAAGTAAAATCTGTAGGTGAATTAAATATGTGTATATATATATATATATATATATTATATATATATATTATCACAACAGTAAATCACTTACCTAAATGTATAAATTCTATGATGTAACTTTTTTCTCTTATCTAAGTAAGTCACTTTAAACACTTTGTTTACACAAAAATAATTATAAATTTATTTTACTAATATTTTATAATACCTTCATATGAATATTATTTTTATACACGAAGATAAAAAGAAGAATGAAGAAATAGAAGAAGACAGGAAATGAATAGAATTAGAAGAAAGAAGAAGAAGCAAGGTTGAAAAAAAGGAAGAATGAAGGATAGAAGAAAGCAGAAAATGAATAGAATTAGAAGTAAGAAGAAGCAGCAAGGTTAGAAGAAAAAGAAGTATGAAGAAATAAAAGAAAACAGAAAATAAATAGAAGTAGAAGATAGAAGTAGCAAGGTTAGAAGAAGAAGAAAAATGAAGAAATAAAAGAAAACAGAAAATGAATAGAATTCGAAGTAAGTAATAAGAATGAAGTCAAGTTATGAAAAAAATTGAATAGTATATTATAATAAGATAGTATAAAATAAAGTATAAGATTGTATAAGAGTTAAAGATAGTATAAATAAAATTTATTTATTGTAGGTATGGCTGAATGCTCTAATTCGCTAAAAGGTTCCGTACCAACATTTATGCTGTTTTCTGCCTTGAATCGAGTACAAACAAATATATTTTGTTTATTATTTTTGTAATATATCTCTGGCTAATTTCAGATCTTTTACAAAACTAAACAAATGTCCATCTTTTGTGTAAATATAAGAAAAATATTTGTTCCAGAACATTCTTCTGAGTAATTCTGCACAAGATAAATAAATTGCACTTTGCATATGGTACAGAAATTATTAAATAAATAAGTTTGTTCTAAGAATGGATTTGAGGCCGATGAGCCATCATATATAAATATTTCAATAATAGCGGTTAAGGATGTTTAACAAATTAAATAAATCAAATATTTTAGAAATCTCAAAAATCTTTGTTCTAAAAAAACGGAATCGTTTTTAAAAACTTAATTTTTTGGTACGGAAAGTTCCAGCAATTTGCCTTAAGGCACGATGCCATCACCACTAGTTATTAATACCGTAGGGTAAGTTATAGTAATCGCAAAAAATCGAAAATGAAATTTTTTATATATCTTTACGTTTCAGAGGTTTCTGAACATTTGGCATACCTTAGAAAAAATTGATGTATGTCTGTGTGTGTATGCCTGTGTGTGTGTTTCTGTGTGTGTGTGTTTCTGTGTGTGTGTGGATACAAATTTTCGTCGACGATTTGTGGAACACGGTTCAACCGATTTCAATTATTCAAAAAACATTCGACTGCCGTTGATAAGAAGACGTTCTGATTACAAAGTGCCACAAACGGTAACTCAGTTTTTAAGAGAATGGAGTGCCCGATTTTAATAATTCAAAAAACATTTTACTTGTATTGACAAGATTAAATTTTCATGAAGGCAGGTCTAGCGATTTCGGAGATCTAGTAAAAAAAGTAAAAAAATATGCCTTTTGGCGGTCAAGAATGATCATTAGACATATGCACTTAAAATTAACAGATATCTTATAGAAATTTTAACAATAAGTATAAATTTTGTTTACATTCCTATGAGTTCCGTACCAATGTTTCTCCGATAGACAGCGACGGGGCGCTTACGCGCTTCGATATTTCGTCTCTAAGTAGTACAATTGATTTGAAAAAAAGTTCAGAACTTCCAGAATATTTCCAAATAAAAAAACATTTTTTTTCAAGAGTCTTTTTCCCAAAAAAATAAATTTTGTTCAAAAATTTATAGTTTCTCAATAAAATAAAAATAATTTTTGGTACGGGATGTTACAGCAATTTGCCTTAAGGCACGATGCCATGCGCCCCACTAGTATCATTTTAATTTATGGCACATCTCAACTGCTTTTCGGCAATAATAATGTAGTCATTACATTTTTCTTGTATATTACATTCTTATTTCATCTAGGCTCATAATTTCAGCTAAATTCAAATTTCAAGTGAATTGACATTTCTAGCAGATCAAATGTGTCAAATGTCAAACAATGATAAGTGTTTTTTGTAATGTTTGCCATTTATTTCTACAAAATTAATATAGTTTTATCGTTCCTTAAATTTTAAAAATTTCCTTTGACAAACTCTAAAAAGATTTATCAAAATCCGAATAACCGTTTAGGAGAAGTATCAAATCATACACCCGTACAGAAGAATTTTATATATAAGACATAAATACTATTTATGTCTTATATATAAAATTCTTTTCTACGAATGTATGATTTGATACTTCTAAACGGTTATTCGGATTTTGGTAAATCTTTTCAGAGTTTGTCAAAGGAAATTTTTAAAATTTAGTGAACGATACAACTATAGTAATATTGTAGAAATAAATAGCAAAAATTACAAAAAAACACTTATCATTGTTTGACATTGAAAACATTCGAACTTTAAGATTTAGTGTATTTATTAAATACAGATGTTAAAAAATATTTTGCACAATCACATTAAATTTATTTAGGAAAAAAACCATACCTGAAATAAACACTTGCACTTTTATATTTACGTAACACCACTTATTTATTTATACATATTTTACATTAAAAGTAAAATATTTAATAATATATTATTACCATTTTAATATTTATTTTACGTCAATTTTATATATTTATCGTCAGTTTTTTAAAAGAAATTTAACATGACCTCACTTTTGATATTTACACTCGAGCTGTTGGCTCGCTACTGAAGGATTGGAGGAGTTCCTTCTGTTTATATTGACTGGCCTAAGGCGTCTTTCACACGGGACGATAATACCGGACAGGCATTATTTAGAATTAGATAATTGTAGGCATTTGAATATAATAATAATAAATGGTAGTCTGCCCGAAGGCAGGTCCATGGTGTGAGAGCCACCGCAACAAATGATTTGTTCTTTTGTCTGTCCACTTTATCTTTTCCATTCGCCTCCAGCACCACATTTCAAAACTCTCGAGGTAGTTTTTATCGACCTTTCTCAGAGTCCATGTCTCCGATCCGTACAGAGCTATTTGAATATATATAAATTTAAATATATTTTATTGATATTTCCTGGATCTTTTTTATGAATTGATTTATGTTTGGCTTCCGATTATTCAATTAAAAAAAAACTAGTGAGGTATGGCATCGTGCCTTAAGGCAATTTGCTGGAACTTCCCGTACCAAAAATTATTTTTTTTTTAAAAGATTAACGTTTTTGAAAAAAAATTACTTCGAAAAAATTAGATTTTTGAGAAACTATAAATTTTTGACAAAAATTTACTTTTTTTTGAAAAAAATGTTTTCTTTATTTTGACATATTTTGGAAATTCTAAACTTTTTTTCAAAGCAATCGTGCTGCTTTAACCACATAGAGATGAAATATTGAAGCGCGTAAGCGCCTTGTCGCCGTCTAACGCATAAACATTAGTACGGAACCTATAGGAATGAAAACAAAATTTATACTTATTGTTGAAATCTTTATAAAATATCTGATAATTTGATGTGCATATGTCCAATAATCATTTTTGACCGCCAAATGGCATTTTTTTTTTACTTTTTTCACTAGATCTCCGAAACCGCTAGACCTGCCTTCATGATCAATTCTTCATCTTGTCAATACAAGTAAAATGTTTATGAATTATTATAATCAGACACTCGGTTCTCTAAAAAACTGAGTTACCATTTGCGGCACTTTTTGCCCCGTATCTTCGAAACGGCACGTCTCCTTATCAATACGAATCGAATGTTTTTTGAATTATTCAAATCGCTTCATCCGTGTTCCCGAAATCGTCGACGAAAATTTGTATCCGCACACATACACACACACATATATACACACACATATAGATCCATTTTTGCTAAGATATGCCCAAATGTTCAGCAACCACTGAAACGCAAACATATACAAAAATTTTCATTTTCGATTTTTTTGCGATCACTATATCTTACCTTACGGGAAATTAATGAAAACTAGTGGTGTATGGCATCGTGCCTTAAGGCAAATTTCTAGAACTTCCCGTGCAGTAATTAAACATTTAAGAATAAAAATAATCAATATTCAACAAAAAATATCAACTTATTTTAAGCTGATACTGCAACTTTTTACACTGTTTACCCCGTGTCTCCAAAACGGCTCGACCTACTTTTGCCAAAAACTATTCAGTACGTCTTCCCATCAAGATATTTTTTGAATCAATAAAATCAGATAGTCCGTTCTCTCAAAAATTGCTATTTTTTACACTTGTTTTCCCGAATTTCCGAAACGGCTAAACCTGCCTTTGCCAAAAACGAATCGGCACGTCTCCCCATCATCAGGATTCGAATGTTTTATGAAACAATCTAATCGGATGTTCCATTCCCTGAAAAAACTTATATTCTTTGCATTTTTTGCCCAGTATTTCCAAAACGGTTGGACCTGTCGTTGCTAAAAACTAATCAGCATATCTCCCCATCAATAGGAATCGAATGCTTCTTGAATAGTTCAAATCAATTGATCGGTGCTCCTGAAAACTTCGATGAAAAATTGTATCTACACAAAACACATACACACACTCTTATCAGTTTTAACTAAGGTATGCCAGAATGTTCAGAAACCTTTGAAACGTAGAAATATGCCAAAATTATCATTTTCGCTTTTTGCACGATTACTATAACTTACCCTACTGGATATTCATTAGCAAATCGGATTACCGGACATAAACTTCTACTTCAGGAAATGTTATATATATATATATATATATATATATATATATATATATATATTTATATATATATCCTATATTCCAGTAATATTACGCAAACATGTCATGTTGTCACTTCAAGTGACATTTCTCACCTAGAAATGACAACCGATGGAATTTTGCGGAGATTTTATTTACACACCAATATATATATATATATATATATATATATATATATATAATAAAAACAAATATAATCCGTAAAAATGTGGCGGGAATAGTTTTTTAGATCATTCATATCGGATGTTCCGTTCTCTCAAAAACTCGATTTCTATTTTCTGCACTCTTTGCTCCGTATCTGCGTAACGGCTGGACCTGCCTTTGCCAAAAACTAATCAGCTCATCTCCCTATCAATAGAAATCGAATGTTTTTTGAACCATTCAAATTTGTTGATCCGTGCGCCCAAAAACGTGACTGGAAATTTGTATCCATACATACATACACATACACATACATTTTTTCTGAGGTATGCCAAAATGTTCAGAAACCTTCAAAACGTCGAGGAATGTAAAAATTTTCAATTTCGATTTTCGGCCCATTACAATAACTTACCCTACGGGAAGTTAATAATTATTATTAATAATAATTATAATATCCATAAAAATAATATATATTTCAAAGCCCTGAGTTATGTAATGCTTATAAAATTCTTAACAATTATATGTATATATATGTACATCTCTTTCTAACTCATACGACTACTAATACTGCTCTCTCGCTCTGTTACCATAGTTGTACGGCTGTGCAGTCACAGGTCTCAAATGGGCCCTTGGAAGACCTTAAGAATAAAAAATTTAATAGTTATTATATATATATATATATATATATATATATATATATATACATATATAAATTTTACCTTGAGCATCGTAATCAGGCTGTGGAATAACTGGCATACGGCTTCCATACCGCGTAGCTAAAAAGTATTTTTTATTATTTTTGAAAATTTTATCAAACCCACAGTTAAGTTGTAAAAATTCATAAATGTGAATGAATTTTTAAAATACATTTAATATTGTACAAGTAACGAGCGCTTAACACACAATCGCACGGGATCATGACATCGCTGCCGCCTGCACTAGTTTTAAAACTCCTATAACTCCGTCATTTGTTGACGGATTTTCAAATTTCTTTCACCATCAGACGATTTAATTTTCTATTACTTACCAGGATTATCGTAATCCGTCGTTTGAATCGGCGTAGGTTTTCTTGCAAATCTGGTGTTTCCCACGACTGCAGGTTTTGGCAACACTGGTGGGGGGGTTCCGTATCCTGGTGAATTTGGATTGCTCACTGGATAATTCAAGTTGGAGCCACGGTCGTCCTGGTGGCTTCGGGGCGAGAATGGAGGGTTTAGGGGAGATGGTTTGATTGGCTGGTAATAATAGATACACATTAAAATCGATGAAAAATCAACAAAAGTAGTTCTAAAAAAACATTTAATTTCAACTTATACCTCATTTGGTCGATCGGACCAGTCGTAGGCATTGTTGTTGTAACCTTGTGGACTGGAAATAAAAACAGTTTTGAATAAACTAATTTTTGTTTAGATAACTCCGGGGTAAACTTGCTCTCTTATCTTAACGTAAGGAAAAAACACTTTCTGGTTTTTCAAGAACAAAGGTATTTTATGATAGAAATCAAGTGAGCAGCATGGTGTTCCACCGACGCATTTTATTCTTAGTAAATTATCTTAATAGATAAAAATTTGTGTTATGAAAAAAATCATATAAGAGACATGGTGTATCAAGAAGAGAGCAAGTTTATCCAATTTTAAATAAAATTGATACTACTCACCTTTGATTATCATATGCGTCCAAATGTGCTCCCGAATAATTCTGTTGAGGGTAAGACTTCTAAAAAAATTATATTTTAGCACAAATAAATAATTACATTTCAATCATTTATCTTCTGGTACTGACCGTGTTTTCTTTGACATTGGTCATTGCTCGTGTCAGAATATAGAGAGCACAACCGGCGTTAATAATCCACAAAACAAAACCTCTCATTGCAATTCCGACGAAAATTGCCGAAACGTATGTTCCAAAATTGGTTTGGTTCATAATGCTATGCTGAAAATTAAAAATGATTAATACCAAGTTATTTTATGGTAAGCAAGTTCTCACATAACCTAGAATAATAAAGTAAGTTCAAGCAATTATCACATCTCATATAGAAAACATATCTTATCATAAGATAAGATTTTTATGCAGAAAAGTCTATTATCTCTCTCTTTCGCTATTTCTATTTTATTCAACTCAGTCTGTCTTATTTTGTCTTCATTCTTACTTTCTGCTCTCTCTTTCATTCCCACAGTCCTTTATTCTTAATTATTACTCACTTTCTTCTCATTACATTCTTAATCTCTCATTCTATTTCATTCTACATCCTTTTCTGATTTTGAATTCTATCTCTTCCCCTAATAATCAATACCTGCTTTCTTCTCTTTTATTTTCATCGTCTTTCACTTCCTTACTCTTTTTATCTCTCTCTCTTGCGTTTTGACCATTCTTCCTGTCCCTGTTTCATTATCACCATCTATCTCTCCTTGTCTCTCGCTTTTTATCTCTGCCATTCTTACCTCCAGCCTTTTTTTTTTCATTTTTTATCTATGATTCAAGATATCTATCCATGGATTTTTTAACAAAGTTTTTGCCGTTTTATCTTTCTCTTTTTAAAGTAAAACTTCTTTAGACGCGACTAGGGTGTAAATCCGTACAAATGCAACGGAAATGCGTTACGGCAGAACTGTGCGTCATTAGCTTTTGATGTAATAATTTTTATATTGGCCGATTGTGATTAATAGTCACGTATGTGAATAGATATCTATCATTGTATGCGTACCGGCATCAACGTTGTATACGTACCAATATCAACAAAGAAATCGGCATAGATAAATAAACATTTTAATGTTACATCGAAGTACAAATCTTGATTTAATGAAAAATGCCTGAATCAGAAGAATATTTTACGCCGTTACTTAAAAATAATAAAACAAATTAAACATTTATGCCGTGTACTAAACGTAAGTTTATTGATTAGAAATTATTTCTATATTATTCGTAGTTTCTATGAATCTTTGAAATTATTAAAATGGAAAATATTTTTTAGGCAAGACAGATATTAGAGCTGTTCAAAGAATGAGATTTTATTGCCAGCAAAAAAGTAAAAAAAATACAATGAATGTATGTTAAATTTAATTACATGAAGTTCTTCAAACACAATTACATGATGAGTGAACAATATTTTTTAGGCGTCGTTTAACATTTATTAATCAGCAATTACTTCATTTCTCTAATGAAGGTTCATTTCTAAATGCTAATTACAATGACAAACCGATCATGTCGTATTTGAAGTGCGACTTTAATTACATTATTGTTTTTAAATATTATACATATTTTAATGCTATTATAAATATATAATTTACAATTTATCATTATATAAATGTGTATAAAGGTTGACACTAATAAATGTGTGCATCACGAGTGTTACCATATTACTAACAAACATTATTCAAAATTGTTATATGATGTATTTATTTTAATCATTTTCTGCGTTTTCATTCTCACTCTGCTCTCTCTCTCCGTTCCACATAAGTTTCTGCACTCCTATTCTCTACTTTAATTCTTCAATCTCTACTTATTTCTTTCTTTTGTTTTCTGTATCTCTTTTCCGCTTTCTAACTCACTCTTTTTCGTTACCTGCCTCTCTTTCGTTTCCTGTCTCTCTTTTCAGCTTTCTAACTCACTCTCTTTCATTTCCTATCTCTTTTTCGTTACCTGTCTCTCTTTCGCTTCCTGTCTCTCTTTTCCGCTTTCTAACTCACTCTCTTTCATTTCCTATCTCTTTTTCGTTACCTGTCTCTCTTTCGTTACCTGTCTCTCTTTCGTTTCCTGTCTCTCTTTTCCGCTTTCTAACTCACTCTCTTTCATTTCCTATCTCTTTTTCGTTACCTGTCTCCCTTTCGTTACCTGTCTCTCTTTCGTTTCCTGTCTCTCTTTTCCGCTTTCTAACTCACTCTCTTTCATTTCCTATCTCTTTTTCGTTATCTGTCTCTCTTTCGTTTCCTGTCTCTCTTTTCCGCTTTCTAACTCACTCTCTTTCACAAAACTTTCTTCTTTTTGCTATAATGTACTTACATCTTTGAAATATTGGTAATTCATACCAAACATAACAGCCAACGCCAAATCCAAAGTGCAAATAAACAAAGTCAAGAATGACCAGAAAAATTTTATAGGTTTACCAATAGTATTATCACTGCCCTCTAAAAGAAAAAATAATAATTTAAATATTTATATTTTCCTTCTTGCAACCTTGTTGATAAATTGATACTTACTCTGAACTAGAAGCATGATGGACGCCACGAACCAGACAATGGTTGAGAATAAAAAGAAAAACATTATAATCGTATAAGACTGTGGACTTGTTTCAAGATCAGGGATGATAGGTGGTATACCACTACATGAGGAATCTAAAAAATAAGAGAGACTTTAAGATAAAAATTATGGTTTAACAAAGGTGATAGATTGCTGCACGTTGTGGTAGGATTATGTTGTGGATTAGTGTTTTGTTGATAGTTGTATTGAGTTTTGGTTGTAAAAGGTTATTGAATAAAGTATTATAGAAAGGTGTTTCAATAGAATTTGCAGGAGTATATTATTTTATGTACTTACCAAAAAAGAAAACAAATGCAGCTTGAGAAAAAGAGTCTCCATTGGCAACAACATCTAAGAATTCAAAAGCGCAAAAATATGAAGAAATCACCAAAACGCTTAAAATAAACCAAGCAATGGACTGACACTGGAAAAAAAATGAATAAATTACCATTAGGTGAAAATAAGAATACCTAAAACAAAGCTTCAACCCAAAATAAAACTTTCCACGTTGTTATGATATAATCCAACCCAAACCGATAAAAAAACAGTCTATTATAAAATGCATACCCCATATCTATTTTTATTTCATTTTATAAACAGTCTAAAGAAGTTTCACTTCAACCCAAAATAAAAAATACTTACTATACCCAACCATCCAGAAAGTTTCAAAACAGTCCCCAGCACATGGGACACTTGTCCTTCACCCTTGTCCATGGTACTATTTTCACTTCAGATTAAAAGTTAATTTAAAAAATTTGCTCTGCGATTTTTTTTATATTCTTTTTATAAAACTGCATAATTTTTTTGAACAAATTCGTTCGAATTTAGTTAAAAAATTGCGTTTGAAAATGATGATGAAACAATGAAAATATGCGAGGTGTTATCGACGAATGATGATAATGTATTATCGATACTTTTAATTGGATTAATTGATAACATATAAAATATTGATAACGTGCAAGGTTTTCCAAAATTGTTACATAAACCAAAAACATTTCCTGATACTCAAAATGTAATAAACTAGGTGCGAGTGGTATTTTGTCTCAAAGCAAGTTAAGACGAAAGTATTATTAAATATTAATTGCTCGAAGGAGAAAAACGTGATGACTTTTATCCACTTTCTGTCCTTTTCTCTATGTGTATCTCTGTTTCTTTCTTTGTTTATCAGTTTTATTCTCACTTCTAATATATCTATTTCATTTTATATCTCTTTCTCTCTCTCTTATTCTTACTCTCCTCTTTTCATCTCAGTTTTTATCGCTCTTTCATTCTCTCTCTTTCTATTCTTTTTTCTCTTTATTTCTTTCTTTCTATTCATTCTTTTCTTCTTTTTCATCTTCACCAGCATTTTGTTTAGGCTGCATCGATATCAAAAATTTACTTAATACAAACTTTATAAAAATTTTGTTCATTTTGTCAGTACGATTCGCAATTGATACGTTTAGAAAAAAAATCGATGCAAGTCTTGGGCTTCAAACAAGAAGAGAAAAATTTAAGTAGTGACTTTGTGTATCGCAGTACCCAATCAAAAAGATATTTTTACTAATTACTGGACTGATTTTTTTTAAGTGAAACTTCTTTAGGCGCGACTAGAGTGTAAATTCGTACAAATGCAACGGAAGTGCCTTATGACAGATAAGATAAGATAAGAGTCGAGTGCCAATGATTCGTCATCTGCTCACGATGATATCATTTCAATACGGGTCGATTGTGATTAGTCGTCGTGTATGTGAATAGAGATTTGTCTTTGTATGCGTACCGGCATCAACGTTGTATGCGTACCGATATCAACAGGAAAATCGGCATAGATAAACATTTTAAAGTTACATCGCAGTACAAATTTTGATTTAATGAAAAATGCCTGAATCAGAAGAATGTTTTACCCTGTCCCCCGTTAATCAGCAATTACTTCATTTCTCTAATGAAGGTTCATTTCTAAATTCTAATTACAATGACAAACCGATCATGTCATATTTGAAGTATGACTTTAATTACATAATTGTTTTTAAATATTATACATATTTTTAATGCTATTATATTAATTGATTATTATATAAATTATAAATATATATTTTATAATTTATAATTATATAAATGTGTATGAGTTTGTATGTATACGATTTGCATATCACTACTGCATGATGCCACATTGTGGGAAGATTAAACCGTGTATCTTGTTGTCATAAAGTCAGCAAAACTATAATATATATATATATATATATATATATATATATTATTTGATAAAAATCGCGTTATTGAAGTACTTCTTATTATCTCAAGGCAACAATTTATTACTATTATCGATAAATTGATATATATATATATATATATATATATATATATATCATATATATATATACATACATATATCAGGGTTGTCCAATGCACGTCCGAAATTAATCATTTCAATAGTAACACTTAATATTTTATTATTTTTCAAAAATATGTATAGGAGAGCTAAAACCTTATTGTAACAGGGGTAAGTAGTAACAAGCATTTTTCAATAGAAACCTAAACGATATTAAAATATTTTTGTGTCTTGATTGGACATGTAAACCGTCCTTTATAATGTTGTCGTAGCTACTGACTTGCAGTAAACAGAAGTGTGCAGGTGCGTCGCTTTTGACAGGCAATATGAAATTGTGCAATTATAAAATTTCGGTTTGTGTTATTATAATCGACTAATTGTAAATTGTATATATCATATTTTGTTTCAAAATTAATCGTGGATAATGTTTAACAATTTTTTTTATTGATGGTATAAATAGTTATCTTGATTAATGTAGAAAAGTCACATCTGGGCTTAGTTGAAACAAAATCGTTAGACTAGAATGTGAAATCATTTTTAGAAAAATTGATTATATATTGGGAGCAAAGAAATTTGAAAATATCCATATCAAGGACCAACCTAAATATATATATTTATATTAGGTAAGTATAAATCTATCCTTAAGATAGTCATATGATAGATGTGTGTATCCTTTCAGCAAAGCAAACTATACGAAAAAGTTTCATATCATTTGTCAATGTCACGTTTCTTACTTTAAGGCTTAATTTTTTGCGCAAAACCTCATAAAACTTCATTTGACATACTGTACAGAATATATATGTATATATATATATATATATATATATATATATATATATATAATCGATCACATTCATTTCCAATCATGAAAGGATATCAAACATTATTCGACCTATAAGGTTACTTGTTCTCATACCATTTTATATTTTTTTGGTTAGTACCCTCAGTGCACAACGATTGCTCTAAAATGTTGAAATTTTAATATGGTATACTCTAGTATGTCTACTATGAGGACAAATACTAGAATTGATAAGTCATCTCACAAAATCTTGAGAAATTAATAAACTTATTAAAAACGGTACCTGGTGTTTCGTACCCGACTTACAAAAATCGAAAAGACTAAGTAAATATTACCCTCAGTGCACAACAATTGTTCTAGAATGATAAAATTTTAATATGTTTTACTTAAGTATGTCTACTATGGGGACAAATACTGAAATTGATAAGTCTTCTCCCAAAATTTTGAGAAATTAATAAACTTATTAAAAAGGTACCTGGTGTTTCGTACATACAAAAATCGAAAAGACTAATTAAATATTACCCTCAGTGCACAACGATTGTTCTAGAATGAAAAAATAAAAGAAGATAGAAGTTAAATGGAATTAGAAATTAGAAGAAGAAACAAGATTAGAAGAGTGAGAGAGAAGAGGTAAAATTTGAATAGTTGATTTGAGATAGAATAGGAGTTAGAAGAAGAACGAAAGATAGAAGAAAAAGAAGAATGAAGAAATAAGGGAAGACCGGAAATGAATAAAATTAGAAGTTAGAAGAAGAAACAAGAATAGAAGAGAGAGATAATGAAGAAGTGATAAATGCTCCGAGTTAAGTAGAATTTGAATGGTTGATTTGAAATAGAATAGAAATAGAATGTTAGAAGAAGAAGCAAGGTTAGAAGAAGAACAAGAATGAAGAAGTAAAAGGAAGATAGGAGTCGGATAGAATTAGAAGTTAAATAAAGAAACGAGAATAGAAAAGAGAGAAAAATGAAGATGAAAATAATGATATGAGTTAAGTAGAATTTGAATTGTTGATTTGAATTAGAGTAAAATTAGAAGTTAAAAGAAGAAGCAAATTTAAAAGAAGAAATAAAAATAAAAAATCAGTTATAAAAAAACTTGATAGTATGGGATATATGAATATAGCATATGATATAACAAATATAGTGTATGATATAATAAAAAAAAGTATAAAATGTTAAGAAGAAAGTTGTATGTATAGCTAAATGCTCTAAGTAAGCGAAGTCAATTTAAAATATATATATATATATATATACATATATATATATATATGTGTGTGTATGTGTTTGGGGATGATTTTTGATATGAATAGCCCCAAAATGTGTTCCATCTTTCGTCTTTCTGATGTGAATGCTTTCCTCTTGGCTTGTTAGTGAAAAAGGTCGAAGTTTCATATGGGCCGAGACCAAACTAAATTATGGGGCAGCTTTTTATCAAACACACTCATATATATACATATATATATACACATATATAGATATATACACTGATATATAAATAAGTAAAAAAAATATAAATGTCAAAAAATGATGCCACGATATCTATAATGTACGTGCTATGCTTATTATCGACACTAATAATGTCCTTTACAATTTATATATATATATATATATATATATATATATATTAAAATAATAACATTCTACAATATACAAAACTATTTTAAATAAAATCTCAAATTGTGCTCTATCAACTTAATGACTTTGCATGTACTTTTCTGATATAAATGTAAATATCTCAAATATTTGTGAGAAAAGTTATAAATTTTAGTATTTGCTTTAATATTAGACATAATAAAGCATAACATATTGAAATTAGAACATTCTAGAACAATCAGAACTATTTTCAAAAAATATCAAAACCTTAACCATATGGAATATTGAGTCAATTCCCTTATACTCTCAAATATTTGTACTATATATATGTATGTTTGTATAAATACATCCCTGTGTGTGCTCCTCTATTGAATCCAGGGCCGTAATTGATTTTCTGAAGCACCCTTAGCCCGCTACCCGCAACTTGAGAATAAATTAAATTTGTATTGAGGGTAAATCTTCTGAAGGATACTTTTCCATGTCCATTATGTTGTCTATGACGGTTTATTTAATCCATTTTACTGGATTTTTTGAACCACTTGTTGGAGAAAAGATTGAAGAAGGTATTAATCTAGTCCGAAACGTTATATATATAACTAAGGCCTATTTCACATTTGTCAATTTATATGAGAAAAGTACGAAGAAGTTTCACATATAGTTCTGGTAAGTTAAAATTAAAAAAAAAAAACAAGTTGTAATTTTTTTTAAAAATAGTTCTGGATGTTCTAGAAAACTATAATTTTAATATAGTATTTTATAGAAGATATATTTAAGATATATACAATTTTCTTGAAACATACGTCAAGAGCAAATACAGGAGTGATAAACTTGAACTTGATGTTCTAGAAAACTGCAATTTTAATATGGTATTTTATATAATGTCCACTTTGACAACAAATACTAAAATTGACAAGTTTTTGAACAAATATTTAAGATATATGAAATTTTCTAGAAACATGCATCAAGAGCAAATACAAAAGTGAAGAGCTTTAAGAACTAGTTTTGAAATTATTTAAAAATAGTTCTGGATGTTTTAAAAAACTGTAATTTTAATATAGTATTCTATAAAATGTCTACTTTGACAACAAATACTAAAATTGATAAGTTTTCTAACAAATATTCCAGATATTTAAAATTTTCTAGAAAAATGCATGGAAAGAAAATACAAATATAATGAACTTGAAGAACAAGTTTTTATATTTTTTTAAAATAGTTTGGATGTTCTGGAAAACTGTATTTTTCATATATTATTTCATAAAATTTCTACTTTAATAAAAAATACTAAAATCATTAACTTTTCTAACAAATATTATAGATATGCACTTTTTTTCATTAAACATTTCATTTAATTTAAAAGCATTTTATTTATTAGCCTATTGGTAAGTGCATAAAAAATTTATTTAAAATAGGAAAGCCTTTTGATGATCACATTTAACCTATGGCATTTTACTCTTAATTGAGAAAAGTTCAAATAGTAATTGTAAATAGAAGTAATTATTTGTACGAAATCGATATTTAATTTGAAATCGTTTTAAACTAAAATTATATACAGATTTTATTAAAATGAGATTGGTAATTGAAATTTTGTTTCAGATATCGATTTGTAGATAATTGACTAAAATATCTAGATACATAAATTAATAATAAAATTTCAAAGTTCAAATTATTGCTATTTGTATACTCAATTCAATTTGTATAATCAACTTCTTAGGGTAGAGGTACTTTTTTATGTTTTTGTAAATATTGAAAAATTTTGCAAAAAAAGTAATTTATTTTAGTATTTGTTGTCAAAGTAGACATTTTATAGAATATTATATTGAAATTACAGTTTTCTAGAACATCCAGAACTATTTTTAAAAAATTTCAAAACTTGTTCTTCAAGTTCATCACTTCTGTATTTGCTTTCCATGTATTTTTCTAGAAAATTTTAAATATCTAAAATATTTCTGAGAATAGTTATTGATTTTAGTATTTGTTGTCAAAATAGATATTTTATAGAATACTACATTAAAATTACAGTTTTCTAGAACACCCAGAACTATTTTTAAAAAATTTCAAAATTTGTTCTTCAAGTTCATCACTTCTGTATTTGCTTTCCACGCATTTTTATAGAAAATTTTAAATATCTAAAATATTTCTGAAAATAGTTATTGATTTTAGTATCTGTTGTCAAAGTAGACATTATATAGAATACTATATTGAAATTACAGTTTTCTAAAATGTCCAAAACTATTTTTAAAAAATTTCAAAACTTCTAGTTTTTCAAGTTCATCACTCTTGTATTTGCTCTTAATGCATGTTTCTAGAAAATTTTACATATCTTAAATATTTGTTAGAAAACATATCAATTTTAGTATTTCAAAGTAGACATTTTATAGAATACTATATTTAAATTAAGATTTTCTAGAACATCCAGAACTATTTTTAAAAAAAATCAAAACTTGTTCTTCAAGTTCTTCACTCTTGTATTTGCTCTTGATGCATGTTTCTAGAATATTTTAAATATCTGGAATATTTCTGAGAATAGTTATTGATTTTAGTATTTGTTGTCAAAGAAGACATTTTATTTAAAACTATTTCTCAAAAATATTACATATTTGCAGTTTCAACTCATCATTTTAAAAAATATTCTATATTTCAATTATTTGTTAGTAAATATATCAATTTTAGGATTTACTATTATAATAGATATATTAAGGTAAGACATATTGAAACTAGAAGCTTGTAGAACATCCAAAATTGTTTTAAAAAAATAAAACCTTACTTTTATATATAAAATCCCCATTGCCATTTGCTTATAAAAAGTTAAATATCTCAAAATTTTGTGAGAAAACTTATCAATTATATAATATAATATAATATAATTCTTTTTATCTTAATAACAGCATTGAATATGTAAATTTAAAAAAAGTTCACATTAAACAATTTCAAATTCCGCGCCATTTTAATTTATATTGAGCAACCATTAATTTTTATTAATTTATGAATTTATTTATGCTAATACTTGATGCTAATTTTGAAAATACAAATAAATTTTAACTCATTATAACATTTTATACAAACATTTAACTCATTATTTAATTCTTTTCTCCTTAATAACATCATTTTAAAAAAATCACTTCAGAAATTTTCAAACTCTGAGCCATTTTAATTCATATTTCTTTCGTCAATATTATACAATATTAAAACAGTGTTAATTTATTTATGCTAATATTTGATAATAATTACAAAACACAAAAACTTTTAATCTTTCAATAATTTTTATCTCAATAACGCATTTTATAAGTTCATAAAATAAATATTTCAAATTTACAATTTTCAAATTCTGCGCCATTTTGAATCATATTTTTTTCGCCAATATCATACAATAATAATTTATTTATGCTAATATTTGATAATACTTACAAAACGCAAATATTCAATAATTATATAATACTTTTTATCTCAATAACGCATTTTATAAATATTTCAAATTTACAATTTTCAAACTACGCGCCATTTTAAATCATATTTTTTTCGTCAATATAATACAATATTAATTTATTTATGCTAATATTTGATAATAACTACAAAACACAAATAATTTTAATCTTTCAATGATCATATAATACTTTTTATCTCAATAACAAATTTTATAAGTTCATAAAATAAATATTTCGCATTTACAATTTTCAAACTCCGCGCCATTTTGATTCACATTGAACAACGCGCCAATTTTTTTCCCTCAAATGTCATAACATATTAAAACTGTTTATTTATTTATGCTAATTAAATTTGCTTCGCATTTATTATTCAAACGTGAATAAAACCGTATTAATAATAATTTCTACTAATTAATTCCGAGTTTCGCAATTCAAGTGTTGTCACAATTGTTTGACATAAGTAAAATGTAATGTATGAAAACATAGCATTTCGCATAAAGTTTTTATTTTTGTACGAGATATTAATCAAATGGAGGGAATAATGGATGAAATTAAAACTGAGGGAACAGAAGATAATGCACGTGAGATAATTGTGGAGGAAGTTAAAGAGAAAAATCAATATTTACAAGAACTTGTATCTGACATTTGCACTAGTGATACAAATTTACCAGAAGGCAATGATAGAAAGGATTCTGGTGAAGTTGAAAATGATGATGGTGGAAAAGATGTAGATAAAAAGGATTCTAGTGATACTGATTGTGGAAAAGATGTAGATAAAAAATTCTATTGCAATTGTAGTCGATAAGGTGCAAATTGAAAGTGAGGTTACTACAGAACAACAACAAGGTATCCATTATCAATGTCATTGTTTTGTACATAAAACTAAATCTTTTACCTCTATTTCAGCTGATGACACAGAGAGTTTTGTAGAAGAGTATTTGGATGAAGAGTATTTGGAGTATGAGACTGCAGAAGGTGAATCGATATCTCAATACATGACTCCTGTGAACCTTAGTGAAAGTGATGATGATGATAGCGATACGTCCCCGGTTATGGCTTATCTGGAAAAAACAGAGAATTTAAGTTTTTATAAAAGTCGTGATGAAAGTATTAAAAATTTTAATTCAAATTTTGGCTCTGAAAATGTTTCCAAGATGGCCGCCGTTGACAGTGAAGTTACGCGAATAAACAAACAGACGCCTGTCAATATAAATGGCGCTTTGAATCCAAGATTAATACATTTCAAGGCTTTAAGTGAACCCAGACAGAGTGTTTTGAAGAAATTAAAGTCCCAATATTGTATTTCTGATAAAACCGATTTGGAGGTTAGTACCGCATCAATAAAACGTTCGAGAAAACAACGCTTAGAACCTGCCAATGTCGAAGTTGTCTTCGAAGTCGAGAAAGTGGTTCCTGATGACAATTTAAACACCAGCAAGCCTAAAAAACGTGCATACAAACAGCGTGCACAATTGGACAAACCCAAAAGAAAGTGGACGCGTCGAAAACTTGATAAATCAACCCCTCAGACAGACCCAACCATAAAACTACCCAAACGCTCATACAAGAAAAAAATCTGCAGAATAGCTTCTTGCAAATGTGACTTAGAACACCCTGAACAAGATTCAAGTGATAAACAAGACTCCGAGGACGCTTCAGATTACTCAGACGAATGGCAGTTACCGAAAAAGGTAAACATCACACCATCCAACACACCTAAAATCAAAGTGTACACAAACTCAAGAAAACGCCAGTTGTCCCACAAATCAACATACGACGACCACGAAGACCTATCAAACGACTTACTAACATTAATCAAAGAAGACGAAAAGTCTGACAAAGAAATTGATCTAAGTCTGTACCCCGAAGATGGTGATGCCAACGTGTCTCCAACCAAACGTGTAAAAACTGATGAACCAGTTGATGCTGAAAATTTTGAAGGTTTCGAGTCCATCGAGGATGCTGTTTCAAAACTCCCATCGCCTGTAAGACCTAAGCGTACAAAAACTGAAACCATATCCAAAATCTTCAACAAAAAAGAGGCTGCCAACCAGGTTTGTGAAGTATGTAGAAAAGAATTCAGGACTAAAACTAGACTTATGTTGCACAAAAAAACACACACAGGTGAACAACCTAGGAAGTCTGCTCGGTTCACCAAAACTATTGCAAAGCCTGAAGCCCCCAACAAAAACTTAAGACGTACTAGTGTTAAAATGAATGTGTACAAGTGTCCAGATTGCTCAGCGGAATTTAAAAACACCATTCTGCTGCGCAGGCATAAAACAACTTGCAAAGTGGATAATAAGGTTGTTAAAACAAGACCCAAAAACGAGGTTGATACTTTTATAAAAGAGGTGGACGACTTGGGAGAAAAAATTAAATCCAACAAAATCTCTACTAGTCCCAAAAATTTAAGCAAAACCAACAAAGAAAATATTGCAGCAAAAACAAATGCAAACACACGGGCAAGTCGCCTTCTACATCCTGTGCCTCCCAAAAAACTAACCAAAACCCTACAAAGCCCTAAACCTCAAAAAACTTCACCAAGATTAAGACCAACTTCCACATCCAAAACTCCTAAACCGGCAGACAAAACCCAGTCTGCCAAAAAACAATTGATCTCACCAAAACCATTTGTGGCACGGTCTATGCCCCGGTTCCAGAAAATTGGACCCATAAGACCCCAGCCCAAGGTGCTTACTAAAACTCCGGTCAAACAACAGACTACAATGACTGGGTTGTCCAGTAAGAAATTTGTAAGGAAGTCTTTCAAAATGCCCAAGGCACACTCCGGAGTCCCTTTGTCCAGCAAGATGAGGAATGCATTGGAAAAATTGAGGCTGGAGCGTGAGAAAGCAATGAGAGAGGCCGGTGGAGAAAAAATAATATTTTGTACATATATATATTGATATATTTTTATAATTAATTTATTCCTTCAATTAGGTATGTAGTGAAATGTTTTAGCACATTTTTTGGAAATATTTTAAAAGATTTTTAAAAAATCGTTTGTCTAGTTTTGTAGCTAAAATAAATAAATATATATATTTAGTTAAGTACAATATTATATATGTATTATGAATAATTATCGTTACTATTTTGTTTTTAATAGAAAAATAAAAAAGTGTATATAGATAATGTATTTTGTTTCGTCATCAATTTATAAATAATAACTAGTGGTGCACAGAATCGTGCCTTAAGGCAAATTGCTGGAACTTCCCGTACCGTAACGAAATGTTCGAGGAATACTGAATGTTTTCAAATAGATTATTATAAATATTGTAACATTGTCTAATATTTATGAGAATTATATAAAATGAATTGCAAAGTTGAAATTATTTGTTAAAAGTATATTAGAACTTTAGTCAGAATTAAAAATAAAATCTGAATTATTTTCGTCACAAAAAAAAATGATACAATTTTTTTTTTTCAAAATCAATTATTTTGTTAAAACAAGCAGAAAGTTCTTTGAATCAATTAAATCGGACGCTTAGTTCTCTCAAAAACTGCCATTTTTTACAAATTTAGCTCCGCATCTTCGAAATGGCTGGGCCTGCCTTTGCAAAAAACTAATAACCACTTCTCCCAATCATTACTAATTGAATGTTTTCTAGATCATTCAAATCGGATGCTCCGTTCTCTCAAAAACTCGATTTCTATTTTCTGCTCTTTATCTCCCTAACTGCTTGACCTGCCTTTGCCAAAAACTAATCAGCATATCTCCCTATCAATAGGAATCGAATGTTTTTTGAACCATTCTAATCGGTTGATCCGTGCGCCTGAAAACGTGGACGAAAAATTGTATCCATGCATACATACAGACACCCACATCCATTTTTTCTTAGATATGCCAAAATGTTCAGAAACCTTCAAAACGTAAAGAAATGTAAAAATTTTAAATTTCGATTTTTAGTCAGGTAAGTTATTTTTGAAATTTGGAGATTTTACAATTACATCACAAAAGTACAAGTGAAATGATAAGTTGGTTCATTCATAAATCGAATATTTCTACAAAGTGTTGTATCATAATATATGATGTTTGTTAAATTATGTAGATTTATATATATTTACATATTTTATATCACCATTTTGTCTTTTTTATTACCTTAAATGACATAAGTGAAATAAATCAAAAGTATCAAAGTGTCTGCAGAATATATTTCTTTTGAGGACTCATAATAAATTTCGACGAGTTGGGCAATTTATTTTTTGTGACATTTTATGTAGATTTATGTACTGGGATAATCTTTATATATATATATATATATATACTAGCAAACCCGACGAATTCCGTTTCGCCACCAGATGGTTTCGTGAGTAAAATGAAGAAATTTTTTGTTTGTTTTACATTTGAAAAGGATAAATTTGATTTTATTACACAACAGTAATGAATTTATTTCGATTACAAAAATCAAGTGTTTTTTATTTAAACTTCTCTAAGTAAATGAAAGTGAATCCGCAAATTATCCGTTTGATTGAAGTGCTCTTTGGTAAACCACATTTTTGTTTTTTGGTCTGACGTTAACACAAACAAAGCGGATGGTTTTTCAACTCGTGAACAGGCAACGTATAACTGCCCATGTGAAAAACAATGATTTTCTAAATAATCTTTTTGAAATTTATCCCGAAAACACTAAGCGATTGGCCTTGCAACTTGTTATTGCGAACGCAAAGCGAACTGGAAATTTCAATCGTTTGAAGTCAAACGGAAGACCAGTCGGAATCATTGGTATGTCACCAAATCGCCAGCAATTTTTGATTGAATGGTGAAATTCAGTGCGTGTACATCATTATTCTTTGCGGCAAGAATTGCTTGTTGACTTAACCAAGCATAATTCTGATAATTCTCACTAATGTCATTACTCGAAATTTTAGTTACAGTGCGTGAAGTTCCAGCAGTTTGCATTTAAGCACGATGCCATGCACCACTAATTTTCTTAGGTTAGCTATAAACCTTGCGGAGTCCTTTCCAACGAATGCAAAATTGTCGAATTCGGTTCGTGCGTTCTGGAGTTATATCGTCAGGAAGGAAAACCCGACTTATTTTTATATATATGTAGATATATATATGTAGATATATATATATATATATATATATATATATATATATACTAGCTGACCCGGCAAACGCTCCTTAGCCACAAAAAATACTTCTGGTAAAATTATAGTGAAAGAGACAGCTGGTAGGTTTATCCACTGCAAAGCACGTCATATATAAATTTGAAGACTCAAGGTTTTGATATATTATTACCTCACTTATTTTAATTAAGTCATTAATTTATGATCTTCAAATTCAAAGCAAAATCCGAACATTTATTTTTAAATTAGGTTGTGGCATGCTTAATAACGAATCAAATGGCTTTTTATAAATTATTTTATGTACTATATGTCTCTTGCCACATAAACTCCATTCGATTAATATGAATAATACAAACGTGTATAAAGTAAGTATAACAATTGTACTTTAAAGTACACTCGGTGTACACTTTCCATTGAAAATGACCTAATAATATTTCAGTGATAATAAACAAATGAATTAATAAAGTACATTTAATTATTAGATTGTTTAGAGTTTTGAAGTAAAACTTCTTTAGCGCGACTGGAGTGTAAATCCGTACAAATGCAACGAAAGTACGTTAGGGCAAAGTCGAGTGCCAATGATTATTTGTCAGCCGCTATCATTTCTATACGGGTCGATTGTGATTAGTCGTCATGTATATGAATAGAGACCTGTCGTATGCGTGCCGGCATCAGGCTCTAATAAAGGGCATTCTCTAAATGCTAATTACAATGACAAACCGATCATGTCCATACATTCATGGACCAAATCACTAATAACTTTATAACCATTCGATTAATATGAATGACGTATTTGGCAAATTTATACTAAATTAAACAATCTTCAACATTTACTAACTCGGTATGCTCTTAAAATCCAATAAAAAAGCAAACAATATACCCTATATTCAAATCCTAACCGCCGAATTTTGCCTTTCGCCATCTAGCGGCGAAAAGCAAAACCATTTGCCGAGCTGTCAACTTTAATTGACAGCTCGACAAATTGTCACGCACACAATCAACAAAATGATTTATATTTAAACAAAATTTTAATCTACAGAACTCGTTTTTGTCAAAAATGTCGATAAACAAACCGTTATCAACATTTCCTTCGAATTTACAAATACATATGAATCGAAATAAATGTCTAAAATGACATTTTTAGTAGACGTGTATAGTAAAAGACACATGAAATAAATCGGCTTTGGTAATAGAATTATATATAAATATATCGGTTCATAACGTTTGTTTATGATTTTTTTATCTGTGATCATGTGTAGATAAAATTCTGCAATTAATTATATGAGGTATTAAGTTTATTGACGTGTACAGATTAAATAACCTAAGATTATCTAAGATTTTTTTTGGAGATTGCTTTTATCGTAAATAAATAATGACTTGGTATTAATTTCAGTTTGTGGTGTTTTTGTAAACGTTAAAGGTGGTCTCAGTAAAAAATAAGGTATTGTTGAATAAATATTATTTTTTTATATATACTATAATTTAGTATTTTTTATATACATAATGCTTGAACAAAATGTATACACACTTTGAGCTTCCATAGAAAATTTATTTACCGTTCTACAAAGTTAAATTTTAGGAAAATAGAAAGCTATATTTATTACTTGTATTTTATGACAATTTTAAATGTTTCAATTACCAAATTGTTTGTATATATATATATATATATATATATATAAATGTTAAATATGAACAAAACAGCACTCAGATTTTTAACACACACTTAAATTAAATGTAATTTAAATAAAATATTGAAGAATGCATAGTATATAAGTAACTGTTTTTGAAATTACACTGAAGATGAGGCATAACATGGTCTCGAAACGTCTGTAATTACCAAATAAAGTGTGTGTTAAAAATCTGAGTGTTGTATTGTTCATATTTTAACATTAATATATATATATATATATATATATATATATATATATATTGGAAATTGGAACTTTTAAAATTGTCATAAAATATAAAATATAATCAATTATAACATTTACTTTTCGAAGAAGTATGAATAAAACTAATAATAATAATAATATGTCCCCTAGTATAATATTGTATATTATACTCAATTAGATCTTGTACTTTACCAAATAATTTAATCAAATAATTCAGATGTTGAATTGTCCTGAATTTTAATAAAATTGGATTCAAATCCAAAAAACTTATTAACCTAACCTTACTTGACAAATTTAGAAATTTTCCAAAATATTAAATCTATATTAATTTACTATTATTTATTATTAAATAAGATTAGATCTTGTTTAAACAAATATATTTATTTCATTTCAATTATAATTTTGTATTGTTTATTTAATTAATTTCATATTATTTATTTATCTTTCAGACATCTTAGAAAAATGACAGGTGACAGTTTGACAACCGTCAACGTGAAGTTCGTTCAAGAAGTAACGGACGCGCGAATTTTGAATTTGATTCAACATTTTGAAAACAAATTTCGCGAGAAGGCTGATTATTTTGTTAGAGTACCTGGACGGTTAGTAAATATAATATATATATATATATATATATATTTATATATACACATATTATTAATATTATGATATATTTATTAATATAACAAAACTCTGGAGAGTGATGTTTTGCCCTTATCCCGCTTAATACACGTTTTAGCATAAGATGTGTTTTTGGTTTGGTCTCTCGAAAATTGTCTTAACGGGGACTTATTTTTATTAACTTTATTTAGAGTAAGTTATTGTGTAGAGTAAGTACACATTCAGAAATCACAAGAAGTTCCAGCAAGATGCCATACACCACTAGTTTTCATTATATTTATAGATTTTTTCATTATATTTTTATATTGTATTCCAGTGTAAATTTAATAGGAGAGCACATAGACTATTGTGGATATGCAGTTTTACCAATGGCTCTATCTCAAGACATTATTGTCGCTTGCAAAACTACCAATGACAACAACATTTATCTGAGTAATGTTGATGAAAAATATCAGAGCTATAATTGCCGAGCTGATGATATAAAGTAAGTATAATCATCCAAAAAAATAAAAGACTAACATTCTTATCAGCACCCTTCTTATATCTCCCATAACTTTTAAACCACTCGATTAGTATGGATGATGTTTTTGGCAAAATTGTATAAAATTAAATAATCTACAACATTGTCCAACAACAAAATACTCTACAACAACTCAGTATACTCAAAAACAGCAGTTTAACAAGCATGAGTTGATGCACACATAAATAAAGATGGACTGAGTTGATGCTTAGTGAACTCTTTTACATTAAGCTACTTTTCATGTACCAAAAAATAGTTTTTTTTTACTAATTTAAAGCTGACACAATCTTCTACATTCTTCTTCCCCAACACAATCACCTACGACCACCAATTATAACCAAAAATCTAATAAAACCATCAACTTCCTAAAGTGCAATTAGTAAAGACTTGTACACATATATAAGTAACCAATATAGGGACAATTTTTGATAATTTAATCTGTAACTTAAAAACCTTTTTTCATGGCTGAAAGCTGACAAAATTTTCTACATTCTTCTCTCACAATTTGGTCACCTACAACCACAAATTATATCCAAAAATCTAACAAAACCATCAACTTTTTACAGCACAAATAGAAAATGTAGTAACCAAAACTGATATACTTTTTTATATTCAAATCTGTAGTTTAGAAAGTTATTTCCACAGCTAAAAACTGTCTTTTGCCAAATTAAAGCTGACAAAATCCTCTACATTCTTCTCTGCCTGCACACTCATCCACAACCAAAAACTACCTCCAACTAAATCTAATAATATCATCAACTTCTTACACCACAAAAACTAAAAAATTGTAGTAACCAAAACTGGTACACTTTTCTATATTATAATCTATAATTTAAATCTTACATGTACTTCTCATAGTTAAAAAATGTCTTTTACCAAGCTTGAAACATCCTCTACATTCTTCTTCCCCATCATCAAAAATTTTCAATCAACACAATCAATTTCTTTCTCAGAATTTCCAACGAGCGTCCACTATGGTACGACTACGTTCTATCAGGCATCAAAGGAGCCCTGGACGAATTCTCAAGTCTAAAGTCTACAAAATCTACTACCAATGGTCATGGTGAATCCAATGGTAGCTCCAATGGTGACAATGGTGTCCACCAAAACCATGGTGCAGAGTTCCAAGGAATCAAATTGGCTTTTTCTGGTACTGTACCACCTGCAGCAGGGTTGTCCAGCTCGAGTGCACTTGTTAGTGCAAGTTTGCTGTCTGTTGCATATTTTTTGAAGGTAAATGATAAATGAAACTTATAAAGTATACCTTTTGAACAATTTTCCTAAATGTTTCATTGATATTATTACAAGATATATAATATATAATTGCACAAATTGCAATCAAATTTATGTTATCAAAAATCATTCTAAATCAATTTAAAGGAAAAAAATGGTGCTGAGTAGAGATGGGACAGAAGCTGATCTCCTATGATAAGTTTTCCTATTTTTGTTAATTTTTACTATTTTTTCAGCTAGATTTAAATCGCCAAAAATTGGCAACACTATCAGCAATATCTGAAAGGTATGTCGGGACATTGAGTGGAGGAATGGATCAAGCAATTGCCTTCTTAGGACAAAAAGGTAATTAAGAATGTAGAGAATTTTATCCAGGCCCATGGTGTCAGAAAAGTGTCCAAGTTCTGTTAACTGCTCTTTCCTTCTCTGTCTTACGCTTTCATTTTCCTGTTTTCTTTAATAGTATCACCAGTAGTATAATATCACCTGCATTCTTCTGTCAGCTTTTTTTACCTCCCATGGCAGGCTTGTCCCAATATTTGTCTGATCCAGAGTTCTTTTTTTATTCCATTCACAAGTACTTCTTCATGTGGTCCACATAGGTATATTTTAACTTCTTCAGGAACACACATCAAAACTTAGAATATTAGTCTTTTTTTCACAAAGTCTTTTTACATTCACCAGGAACATATATTTAACTCCTCATGCAGTTCCTTACAATGCCCATGTATTTGAAACAATATATCTTTATATAAGTTTTCATTCCAGTTCCTTAAAGTTTTTGTCTCTAATCAGTGCAGAGTGGTATTCTATAAGTTTGGTTGTTAGTAGAGTTCCTTTTCTCGGAATCCACGTCTCTGATCCTTTTAATTATATGTTCTTTCTTCATTCGGTCACCACATATCATTAGAGAAGTTATCTTCTTCTTCTACAGAGCAGCGTTTTACCAGTTGCGACTACAAGTCAAGATTCAGTAAAGTCCTTTCTATCTTATTCAGCAACGCATTTGGAAATTCTCGGTGAATTTCCTTGGAAATTCCTTATCTCATATCAATACTAAGTGCTTTATTAGTTTGTTCATCAGTAGAATTCCCTTTCTCTTTTTCTCTCCAGGATGTGCCTCCTACATCAACTCAACCCCTTGACTGCCAAATGAGGAAATGAGGCTACGTTCGTAATCGCCCACTAAATAGTAGAGTTTCTTTCCTCAGAATCCTTTATATAATCTCCAGCAGCACGAAACTTTCCGTAGTTCCTTAGAATCTGTATATCTGATCAGTACACATTGGAATTTTATCAGTTTGGTCATTAGTAGAGTTCCATTTCTCTTTTTTCCCAGGTTGCGCCTCCTATATCGGGTTCAACCACCTGACTGCAAAGGCAGTCGCGTTGCCAAATGAGGCCGCCTTCGTGATCGCCCAGTTACAAGTAGAGTTTCTTTCCTCAGAATCCTTTATATCATCTCCAGCAGCACAAAACTTTCCATAGTTCCTTAGAATCTGTATATCTGATCAGTACACATTATAATTTCATCGGTTTGGTCATTACTAGAGTTCCATTTCTCTTTTTCCCCAGGTTGTGCCTCCTACATCGAGTTCAACCCCCTGACTGCACAGGCAGTCGAGTTGCCAAATGAGGCCACCTTCGTGATCGCCCACAGTCTGCACGAGGCGAACAAGGCGGCTAACCAAAACTATAACATCAGGGTCATTGAGTGTCAATTGGCCAGTAAGGTAATTGCATCAATTCCGAAACATTATTCTTTTTTTTCTCAAATGCAATTGATTTGATTAATTAATTTCCAACAGATTATTGCAAAACATCAGAACCTTTCCTGGAAAGAAATCCAGACCCCAAAACAACTCCAAGATGCCTTGAAAATAGATTTACCCCAAATGATAACTTTATGTGACCAAATATTAACAAAAGAAATTTACAGTCGAGAAGATATTTGTGAACTTTTGGAAATATCCCAAAAAAGCTTTTTAGAAAACTTGCTGACACCAAAAGTCAGAAACTTGCTGTTTGAGTTCAAATTGAGACAGAGGGCACTCCATGTATTTAATGGTAACGTATAAAATAATAAATTAACATAAAATGAATTATTATATATATATATATATATATATATATATATATATATATATATATATAAGTCGGGTTTTCCTTCCTGATGAAATAACTCCAGAACGCACGAACCGGTTTCGACAATTTTGCATTCGTTGGAAAGGTCTCGGGCTCCGCAAGGTTTATAGCTAAGAAAACTAGTAGTGCATGGCATAGTGCCCTAATGCAAATTGCTGGAACTTCACGCACCGTAATTAAAATTTCGAGTAATGAAAATAATCAACAATTGTTTAAAATAATTTCAAATAGATTATCTACATATATATATATATATATATATATATATATATATAAAAGTCAGGTTTTCCTTCCTGACGATGTAACTCCAGAACGCACAATTCGTTGGAAAGGTCTCGGGCTCCGCAAGGTTTATAGCTAAGAAAATTAGTTGTGCATGGCATCGTGCCTTAATGCAAGCTGCTGGAACTTCACGCACCGTAATTAAAAATTCGAGTAATGATATTAGTGAGAATTATCAGAATTATGCTTGGTTAAGGGGGGCGATACATGTAATCGCCTTAATTTTTACCATTTTTTGAGGACTTTTTAAACTGGGAAGGAATGATTGAATCTTTTTGAACTTTTTTAGGGTTATTTATTATATATTAAAATACACAAAAAAAATTTTTTTTTATTTTTTTTTTTTAAATGGCTGCCGTAAAAATAAATCTGCCAAGACCCTCTCGGAAAACGCCATCAATTTGCGGGCGTTCTCACTTTTCGTACGGTGATCTGAATTTAAAAAAAATAGTTTGTACGTGTTCATAAAACATATATCTTCTAGTTAAACCAAAAAAAAAATAAAAAAAGTCACAAAATCGTAAATTGGCACACCTTAGAAAAAAAAAGTTCGATTTTTCACCTTTTTTTCAATGGTTTTTTTGGTAAAAGGGTTAATTTTTGAAACATTTTTTGGAATGTTTGAGGTTTAACTAGAAGCTATTACTGTAAAGTAGATGTGTGCAAAATTTCATTGGAATCGGTTGAGAACTTTTTGAGTTATCACGCCCGCAAATTTCAAAAATGTCGTTTTGAGAAAAACGCGTTTAAAGTTTTGACACAGAAACAGATAAGAGTACAATAGCACTCAAGCGTCGAGTTGAGGCGTGGCACTTAAATGAGTTTTTATTGTATAAATAATGATAATTTTGTTTTGAATATTTACAGGCATATTTTTGAGATGTTATTGTAACGATTTATGAAAAAAAAAATCGATTTTTTTTTCTTGTTACATGTATCGCCCCCCTTAAGTCAGCGAGCAATTCTTGCCGCAAAGAATAATGATGTACACGCACTGAATTTCACCATTCAATAAAAGATTGCTGGCGATTTGGTGACATACCAATGATTCCGACTGGTCTTCCGTTTGACTTCAAACGATTGCAATTTCCAGTTCGCCTTGCGTTGGCAATAACAAATCGCAAGGCCAATCGCTTAGTGTTTGCGGGATAAATTTCAAATAGATTATTTAGAAAATCATTGTTTTTTACATGGGCAGTTATACGTTGCCTGTTCACGAGTTGGAAAACCATCCGCTCTGTTTGTGTTAACGTCAGACCAAAAAACAAAAAATGTGGTTTACCAAAGAGCACTTCAATGAAACGGATAATTTGCGGATTCACTTTCATTTAACACCTCATTTTTGTAATCGAAATAAATTCATTACTGTTGTATAATAAAATCACATTTTTCCTTTTCAAATATAAAACAAACAAAAAATTCTTGATCTTTCTCACGAAACCATCTGGTGACGAAACGGAGTTCGTCGGGTTTGCTAGTTTATATATATATATATATATATATATATATATATATACTTTTACTTTATTATTTGTAGAGGCTTATCGTGTAACCAAATTCAAAGAAATATGTTCATCAAAGGATGATAAATCTAAAAACAATTTAGAAAAACTTGGACAATTAATGAAAGAGTCACATGATTCTCTTAAAAGTTTATATGAGTGCTCACATGAAAACTTGGATCGAATTGTTGAAATTGGAAAAAGTCTTAATGTGAAATCAAGACTAACAGGAGCAGGGTAATAATATATATATATATATATATATATATATATATATATAATTTATTATTAATAAATCCTTTTACCCAGGTGGGGAGGTTGCATAGTGGCCCTATGTGAAAAAGGCCATGAAAAGGTCTACATCGAAGTATTGAAACAAGAATATTATTTAAAATTTCGGAAAGATCAACTTTTAGGAAAAACTATTGATGAACTGGTGTTCAGTACACAACCACAAAATGGAGCTGAGATTTTTGTTGTAGATTGAATGTTGCTGAATTGATATTTTTAGGATTTTACCCACCGATGCATGTAGATTGTTAATAAATTTATTATAGAATATATGTTTTGTTATTTATGTGTAGATAGACTATTGATAATGTATTATTTTTATAGTTTTAAAGCTATAGTACAAGTATTTACAAAAATGCAAGTACTTTTTAACTAAATATTGAAATCTACAAGGATTTGACAATTATAAAAATAGCCTTATGAACTTTTCACTTCAGACAAAGTTTTAGATAATTTATTCATCTTTAAATATGCCAAAGACAATATTGTGATTAGTTTTATAGTTTATAAGCTATAGCACGATATTATTCACTGCATTCTTACTAGAAACTCTACTAGTAAATGGGCGATCACAAAAGTGGCCTCATTTGGCAACTAGACTGCCTGTGCAGTCACGGGGTTGAACTCGATGTAGGAGACACATCCTGGAGAGAAAAAGAGAAAGGGAATTCTACTGATGAACAAACTAATAAAACACTTAGTATTGATCAGAGATAAGAAATTCCCAAGGAAATTCACTGGAATTTCCAAACGTGATGCAGAAGAAGATAGAAAGGATGTTACTGACTGAATCTTGACTTGAAGTCGCAACTGGTAAACTGGTTCAGAAATTGGAATTTGTGGCCTACACATAAGTGTTGCAGAGGAATATAACTTCTCTGATGATATGTGGTAACCAAATGAAGAAAGAACATATAATTAAAAGGATCAGAGACGTGGATTGCGAGAAAAGAAACCCTACTAACAATCAAACTTATAGAATACCACTCTGCACTGATCAGAGACAGGAACTTTAAGGAACTGGAATGGTAACTTATATAAAGATATATCGTTTCAAATACATGGACATTTTAAGGAACTGCATGAGGAGTTTAGATATGTGTTCCTGGTGAATGCAAAAAAGACTCCGTGGAAAAAAAGACTAATACTCTAAGTTTTGATATGTATACCTGAAAAAGATAAAATATACCTATGTGGACCACATGAGGAAGTACTAGTGAGTAGAATAAAAAAAGAACTCTGGATCAGACAACAATTGGGACAAGATAAAAAAAAGCTGACAGAGGAATGCACTGGAACATCTAATACTAAACGGCATAAAAGATTATTTAAAAAGTTTTCTTTTTAAACAAATCTTAAAAATAAATGTTTATTTTACAATATTTATTTATTATAAACGTTTATTTTAAATATATAGATGATTTGATTATCTAAGAGTCATCTGAAGCTTTCAATTTACCCAGTTGAATATATTACAAAATGCATCACAAAAATTTAACTAGGACTTTTTAGAAATCACCAGTATAAATAATTAGTGATTTTAATCAACAACATAAAAAATATACATTAACAATAGGGCTTATACAAAAACCGACATTTCAGAAAACCGGTTTTCGAATTTTAATTTTACTAAAAAACCGGTTTTAACCGGTTTTCGAATTTTATATAGAAAATAAATTTTTGCTCGAATATTGTGTAATTTATCCGCAAATTTAGTGTGATTTAGAGCAGTATTTGACTGAATTCATTTATTGTTCAATTTTATAGATAGTAAACAAAATTATTTTAATTTTAATTAGTAGAACTAAAAAAATAATAGTTTATCCTGATTAAATAACTTTGAAAATAATTATTCGTTATTCATGCATCATTTTCACATATAAGAATGAAAATATTTTTATGATAGTGAAAGGAAAGTTTTTGAATAAATAAAAATAATACATTTTTAAATTAAAAAACTGAGAACGTCTATCGAATTGCTACTTAAACATGACCTTTATTGTTTCTAACAAAATTTCCTGAATAGAAAATACTCTCATACTTATGATACAAACTGGTACAAATACTTACGACCAAATTATGCTTAATTGTTTTTGAAGTCTGATATAATAATTCTAAGTTATTTGAACCGATATGATTTCAAGAAGCAAAAAGCTTTCATCTATCTTTTATATTTGGCTATTTTTGTCATTTTCCATTTACACAGTGAAAACCGACTTTTTTCACTAAAAAACCGGTTTTCAAATTCCATAATTTTCGCTAAAAACCGGTTTTTGAAAACCGACAAACCCTAATTAACAACAATTTCTTCTAAATTTAACCAGAACAAACAAAATCCTACGCATCCCAAATCTACAAAAATTTTAAAGGGTATCATACACAATCGCAACATTTTACTAAAAATCCACAACAACCATCATAAACCCACAAAAGTTTTGCCAAATTTCCACACTAACCACCAGAAAACAGCAACAGTTACATCAAATTTTGAATACCAAAGTTCAAAATTGTGGTTCAAAAGTCTTCTACGCATGTATCAACTGTTGCGCGCGTACTAGGCGCTGTTTCATGCAAAATATTGATTTTCTTCACACACAGACATAGTATAAAATTAAATCCAAACACAAACACACATTCATATATAAATTACCACACGTGTAAAACCGATACACACACTTTTACCCCAAAATCGCACCGCCCACGCCGCTTTTCCACACTCGATAGAAAATGTTAGACTTTAGCATATGGTTAATTTTTTAGAAAATTTTGAAAAACGAGGAATAAATCAATTATAAATTGATTCATGTGTACAGATTGATTTTTATTGGTTTGGTTATTTATAATTAATTAAATTTTAATAAAAAGTGTAGTGTTGTTGGATTTGTGACGCACAGTGTGTAATATGTTTTTCATTTTTGCAAAAAGCTTTTTGATTGCTTGTGCTTTTTTGTGGAGTGAATTTGGGACAGCTTTTGGGGAATTGGAGTACTTTCCAGGTAAAATATAAATGATTATTTTTAATTAATATTAATAAAAACTAGTGGACATCGTGCCATAAGGCATATTGCTGGAACTTCCCGTACCAAAAATTATCTTTTTTAAAAAGAGTAACATTTTTGAAAAAATGTTACTTTGAAAAAATTTAAAAAATATATATGAAAATTTTCATTCTCGATTTTTTTTGCTATTACTATAACTTACCCTATGGATAGTTAATAAATTATGATACATTTTGCATTGAATTTTTAAATATCAAAAACACCTTAATTTGGTGCCTTTTGTTCAATTTTGTAAATTGCATTTTAAACGTTCATGTATTTTTTGATAAATATGTTAAAATGATTATTTTTGAACCAAATGTATATATGTCATGAACTAATATTTATATATTAAGTAGGTTAAAAAAGCATCAAAATCTTGATCATTTTTTTCTAAACATGTTTTTTTGCTTAGACGTAAAAGTGTAAAAGTTATATTTTTATTGAATATTTTAAAACTATTATTTTCAAAAAACTTATATATAACAAAAATCCGTAATCAAAAATGAACATTTTCATATATCTTCACGTTTTAAAGACTTTTGAACATTTTGGCATACCTTATAATTAGAAAAAATGGATGTATGTGTGTGTGTGTGAGCGTGTGTGTGTGTGCGGATACAAATTTTCGTCGAAGATTTTGGGAACACCGATCAACTGATTTGAATAATTCAAAAAACATTCGATTCGTATTGATAAGACGTGCTGATTAGTTTCTAGCTGATTAGTTTTTGGCGAAGGCAGGTCTAGCCGTTCCGAAGATACGGAGCAAAAAATGCCAAAACGGTAACTCAGTTTTTAAGAGAACCGAGCGTCTGATTTTAATAATTCAAAAACCATTTTACTTGTATTGACAAGATGAAGAACTGATTGAATTTTTGGGGACGCAGGTCCAGCGGTTATGGACTCTCACTAAAAATAATTTAAAAAGATGTCATTTGGCGGTCAAAAATGTTTATTGGACATATGTACATCAAATTATAAGATATTTTATAGAGATTTTAATAATGTGTACACATTTTGTGTAATTTTTTTTGGCTTTCGTACCAAGATTTTTAATTACGGTATGGGAAGTTCCAGCAATTTGCCTTAAAGCACGATGCCATGCACCCCACTAGTTTAAATAATGTATTTAAAAAAATTGAGGCTTTTACCATTTTTTTTCTAAAACATATGTTCGCAAAAATTTAATATATATAGATAGATGTTTAGTTACTTAAATACCTATATTAAAATAATTTTTGCAATTGTTTCATTAATATTATTGCTTAAAGTTTGAATGATTTATTATTAAAAATTGTTGCTTTTTTTCTAAAATATTCCTTCAGCTTTTTCTTTTAAAATAATATGTGTTAACATATGTTGGAAAGATTTGAATATATATGTGTTATAGTTTTTTTTAAATATATTAAAATACTTTTTTCCAAGACATATTGTACATATTATTATCTAATATTTAAGCAATATGTCAACAAAATTTGGTTGCTTAATTCAAAAAATTAAAGCCATGACAATTTTTTTTTCTTAAACATTATCCAAACATATGTTGCACATATTTGCATTTAATTCGTGAATTTTTTGTAAATTGATTTTTTTTTTCAAATGATAATTTAGTTTAATTTATTAATTACAAAAACTTGGTAGCTTTCTTTTCTAAGAATTGCACATAAATGATTTAGGTTTTTTAAAGTAAAACTTCTTTAGGCGCGACTAGGGTGTAAATCCGTACAAATGCAACGGAAGTGCGTTACGGCAGAGTCGAGTGCCAATGATTCGTCATTCGCTCTCGATTATATCATTTCTATACGGGTCGATTGTGATTAGACGTCGTGTATGTGAATACAGATCTGTCGTTGTATGCGTACCGGCATCAACGTTGTATGCGTACCGATATCAAGAGGGAAATTGGCATACATAAATAAACATTTTAAAGTTACATTGTGGTACAAATCTTGATTTAATGAAAAATGCCTGAATCAGAAGAATATTTTACCCTGCTCCTTGAAAATAATAAAACAAATTAAACATTTATTCCGTGTACTAAACGAGACTTTATTGACATAATTTCTATATTATTCATAGTTTCTATAAATCTTTGAAGTTATTAAAATGGAAAATATTTTAGGCAAGACAGATATTACAGCTGTTCAAAGAATGAGATTATAACGCCAGCGAAAAAGTAAAAAAATACAAGCAGTCAATGAATGTATGTTAATTTTAATTACATGAAGTTCTTCAAACACAATTACATGATGAGTGAAGTTGCAAAAACAATATTTGTTTAGGCGTTGTTTAATATAATCCACTGTGTGAACGAATATTATTAAATTTATTAATCAGCAATTGCTTCATTTCTCTAATGAAGGTTTATTTCTAAATGCTAATTACAATGACAAACCGATCATGTCATATTTGAAGTATGACTTTAATTACATTATTGTTTTTAAATATTATACTTATTTATTATTTTATATATTATACATATTTTTAATGCTATTATAAATGGTTATATTTAAACAATACGACATAAAATTTGGTTGCAGAATTTAAAAAAGTATACTTAAAATATTATATTAAAATTAGTAACAAATTTCTCATGATTGTAAATATTGTTATAATTATTATTCAATTAAAAAATTAAATGACAATTTAATTTGTTAATAATCAACAATATAATATTTAATATTATCAAGACAATAAATTATTTTGTCTCAAATTTAAAAAAAATCGTTAAACATATTCAATTAGTAACAAATTCCTTGTTGTAAATCGATTTTAAAATGTATTGTTATAATTATTATTAAATTTAAAATTGATACAAAAACTTAAAATAATGTAAAACAACATAAATTTTAGTCATAGAATTAGAAAAAAAAAATCAAAAATATTTAAGTTTCTTATAATTGTAAATTAATGTTAAATAAAAAAAATATTGTATTAATATTTAAACAACTTGACATTAAAATTTTATAAAATTTTTGTTTTATCATTAACAAATTCCTTTGTGCTTAAAATTGTTGCTAAGACATATATTATTATTATTATTTTTATAGTTTTATAGGTCAGTTTGATAAAGCTAAAACGATATTATTTTAAATGCACTTGTGTTTTAGTGATAAAGAAATTTTATTACTTTTAGTCGAGTCGTAAAAAATTACGTTTTAAATTTTACTAAAATGCATCTAGATTAGAAATTTTATTCTTATTAGAAAAAGTAATAAATAATTTAATAAGCAAACTAGTGGGGTGCATTGCATCGGGCCTTAAGCCTAATTGCTGGAACTTCCCGTACCGTAATTAAAAATCTTGGTACGGAAACCAAAAAAATTTAACACAAAATGTGTACACATTATTTAAATCTATAAAATATCTGATGATTTGATGTGCATATGTCCAATAAACATTTTGGACCGCCAAATGACATTTTTTTAACTTATTTTTATTGAGAGTCCATAACCGCTGAACCTGCCTTCCCAAAAATTTAATCAGTTCTTCATTTGTCAATACAAGTTGAATGTTTTTTGAATTATTAAAATCGTTTGCCCCATTCTCTTAATAACTGAGTCACCGTTTTTGGCATTTTTTGCCCCGTATCTTCGAAACTGCTAGACCTGCCTTCGCCAAAAACTAATCAGCACGTCTCCTTATCAATACGAATCGAATGTTTTTGGAATTATTCAAATCGGTTGATCGGTGTTCCCGAAATCGTCGACGAAAATTTGTATCCGCACACACACACACACATACACACATCCATTTTTTCTAAGGTATGTCAAAATGTTCAGAAACCTCTGAAACGTAAAGATATATAAAATTTTTCATTTTCGATTTTTTTGCGGTTACTAAAACTTACCCAAAGGGAAGTTAATAATTATTTATATATTTTCCAACCCTTAGTGAAAAATTCCATAATATTATTCGCGTTAAAATTACAATAATATTTTTTAAAATTTCTATAAAAGATGGTATTTGTATTTGCATTGTCTGCGTCGATGTTTATAAAATCTGCAATCGATTTAAACAACCTATATAAATATTTATAAATAAATAAAAATGTTATGAGAACGAAAATATATTACGTACAAAAATTTATATATATATATATATATATATATATATATATATATATAGATATATATATATATATGTATAATAAAATTTATTTAAATATAAAATAAATCTATAAATTTTTATTTAAACAAAAAAAAACTTGATGACCCTCAGTGTACTCTAACTATGACTCTAACAGTATTTGAATTTTTAAATTATCAGATAATTTTTAATAATCATTTTAAGTATGCAAAAATGTTTAGCAGCAATATAAAATTGTATACGATATGTATATTTACATAGATAATTATTTAAAACAAATTTTTATCAAAGTTTTTTTATGATAACAAAATCCAGGTTAAGTTGGAACTGAATAACTAATTATTCAAGAGCTTAAAAAGTTGAATAACCTTAAAGATAAATATAAACAATGCATTTATTAGTGTCAACCATTATACACATTTATATAATGATAAATTATAAATTATATATTTATAATAGCATTAAAAATATGTATAATATTTAAAAACAATAATGTAATTGAAGTCATACTTCAAATATGACATGATCGGTTTGTCATTGTAATTAGCATTTAGAAATGAACCTTCATCAGAGAAATGAAGTAATTGCTGATTAATAAATTCTATAATATTCGTTCACACAGTGGATTATGTTAAACAACGCCTAAAGAAATATAATTGTGTTTGAAGAACTTCATGTAATTAAAATTAACATACATTCATTGACTGCTCGTATTTTTTTTACTTTTTTGTTGGCGATATAATCTCATTCTTTGAACAGCTGTAATATCTGTTTCGTCTAAAAAATATTTTCCATATTAATAACTTTACAGAAACTACGAATAATATAGAAATAATTTCTAATCAATAAACTTACGTTTAGTACACGGCACAAATGCATAATTTGTTTTATTATTTTCAAGTAACAGAGTAAAATATTCTTCTGGTTCAGGCATTTTTCATTAAATCAATATTTGTACTACGATGTAACTTTAAAATGTTTATTTATCTATGCCGATTTGCTTGTTGATATCGGTACGCATACAACGTTGATGCCGGTACGCATACAACGACAGATCTCTATTCACATACACGACGACTAATCACAATCGACCCGTATACAAATGATTTCATCGAGAGCGAATTACGAATCATTGGCACTCGACTCGGCCGTAACGCACTTCCGTTGCATTTGTACGGATTTACACCCTAGTCTAGCGCCTAAAGAAGAATTGCTTTATAGTCTTCTGTTGTTTGCAGAAGTTGTACAATTTTAAATAATTTCTTTAAAATTTCATTCTAGACAACCAACAACACAATCAACATTACGCTTTACAAAGATTAGCATCCTTACTCGAACAAGCACATAGAGAACAAATCAACCAGAAACAGTCATCTAGCAAAGTTCTAAACCGATTCCAAGATGAAACGCCATCTCTGTACGGATCAAGGTAACAGACAATAGTAATAGTAAAAATAATAAATATAATGTGAATAGTTCCTCCGAGTAAAACTTGATAAAATGAAAAAAAAGAAACAGAGAAATAGATGATTTACTACATTTGAAGATGATTTTTGACATTTCTAGACCATCTACAATACTCTCAAATAATCTACAACACTCTTAGACATAATCTAGGACATTTTCAGACAATGTATAATTTTTGTTGAAAATTTAAACAAAACATTTTCAGAAACAAATTAGACAATCTACAACATTCTTAGATAATCTACAACACTCTCAGACGACCTACAACACTTTCAGGCAAAATGCAACAGTCTAAGATAATCTAGGGCATTTTTAGCAATGTATAATTTTTTTTTTAAATTTAAACAAAACATTTTCAGAAACAAATTAGACAATCTACAACATTCTTAGATAATCTGCAACACTCTCAGGCAAAATGCAACAGTCTAAGATAATCTAGGATATTTTCAGACAATGTATAAAACTTTCTAAGAGCATTCATAATTCAACGAATTCTTAGAAGTTTTACTTCAACATAAATAAATATGCAATTATAAATACCTTACCTTTCTTTTATATTTCTTTCTCTCTCTCCACAGGTCTCGTTTCCCGAACGAATACGAAAACTACCGAAAGTATGAAGAGACTTTGGATCCGGAACCGGTTGCAGAAGCAAATCATCGAAAGTTGGAACCAGTTTTGGATCTGAGGCAGTTTGAACCGTTTGTTCAGCAATTGGAGGAGGATAATTTGGAGTATGTTGCTGATGAGGTTGCTAAAAGTGAAGAAAAAATTGGTGAGATGTAATCTACATTTTATAATACTATATTCTAATTCTACTTCTATGCGATATCAACTTATTTTTCGCATGATTCAATTTCCAGAGCCTCCACCAAGACCCCACAACGAACTAAAAGACCTCCAAGACCGAATAACCGCCAACCTGAATGCAAAATACTTCAACAGCTACCACCAACGACCGCCAATTAACAAGAACTACGGCCGAATCTACGCCAACCACCATTTCGGAAACGACCTGAACGCTAAAGATGACACCAAGTACCAAATTTCGAAATCGAAGACAGACAACAAACATTTGCCAGATAGCGAAAACTTCATGTCCAAATTTAGTCATCACCGAGATGTAACACAAGCAGTGGCACAAAATGATGAACACGTCGAACACGAGAACGAAAAGGAAACTACTGCGGATAAGAAGTTAGACGGGTCGGAGTTTACGTATAATTTACCAGCTCTGGGGTCACATCAGATAAGGGATAAGGAACCACCGTTCGCTGTCGGCCCTAATGACCCCAGGTACTACGGAGAGGAAGTGCACAATTCGAAAGTTGGCGGAAATGGTAAATTTAGAGTATTTTCACTAGTTGCTTATCAGATATTTTTTTACTATTTATACATTCTAGATGACCAACCATTAGATTTGAATTCCAAATTCGAACCATTCTCCGATTACTCTCTTTACGACCAAGGCGTTAAAATGACAAAACTGATCCGAAAAAGGCCCTTGGAAGACGATGGTCCAACCCTGTATGTTGTAGCAATGGTAGCCGGTATAAGTGCAGCAGCTACCGTTGGACTGGTAGCTTTCGGTATCGGATGGTACACGTGAGTACATCTTGAAATAAATCATCAATACCCAAGAGTAGTACTTATAATTGTTTACACATGTAGGTTACAAAAACGGTCCAAGTTGGCCCAAGATGCAGAATATCCGGCGTACGGCGTCACAGGGCCAAATGTTAAAGACCCGAATCAGGGTGGGCCTTTGCAAAGTCCTGCTTCATTAAATTTAGCTGATAAACGACTGGCCCAAAGTGCGCAGCTGTATCATTATCATCATCAGAAACAGCAGATTTTGGCCATGGAGAAGTAAGTAGAAGAAGAAATTAGTTCTCATGTAATTTGATTTAAAGCATAATATTTAAAGAACTCAGTAAAATTTCAATTGGACCAGATTTTGGACAATTCAATATAATTTAGTATAGCTATAGAGTTGTCTATTGGGCCACAAACTGGCCAATCAAATACTCATTGACCACAGATGTTCAATAAAACATTGATCATTGTAAACTAATCACTCGTAATAATTATAATGAATTATTTCAAAGAAATTTGTTTTTTGGCCCGGTTTTGGGCCAGAAACTTTAAAATATCGCACAAGACTTAAATACACATGTTTTTTAAGCTGTGATAACAAATTTGTCTACAAGAATCTCAAATGTGTCATTTGTAAATTCTTTGGGTTATGTTAAAGGCCAGTAGGGCCAGAATCATGTAGCTTTGAACAAAGCCCACCAAATAGCATGAATGATAGCAATACTTATATAGTATCCATTTTCCCACATACTATAATTGAATACTGGTCCGGTTTTGGGCCAGAAACTTTAAAATATTGCACAAGACATAAATACACATGTTTTCTAAGTTGTAATAAAAAATTTGTTTACAAGAATGCCAAATGTGTCATTTGTAAATCCTTCGGGCTATGTTAAAGGCCAGTAGTGCCAGAATCAAGTAGGTTTGAACAAAGCGTACCAAACAGCATGAACGATAACAATACTTAAAGAAAAGCTCACTCAAACCCATGCATATATAGATATAGTTTCCGTTTTTACACTTACTATAATTGAATATTGGCCCGGTTTTGGGCCAGAAATTTTAAAATATCGCACAAGACATAAATACACAAATTAAGTTGTGATAACAAACTTGTATACAAGAATACCAAATGTGTCATTTGTAAATTATTTGGGTTATGTTAAAGGCCAGTAGGGCTAGAATTATGTAGCTTTGAACAATGCTTATCAAATAGCATGAATGATAGTAATACTGATATAGAAATAGTATCCATTTTCCCACATACTATAATTGAATATTGGCCCGGTTTTGGGCCAGAAACTTTAAAATATCGCACAAGACATAAATACACATGTTTTTTTAAGTTGTGATAACAAATTTGTCTACAAGAATCCCAAATGTGCCATTTGTAAATTCTTTGGGTTATGTTAAAGGCCAGTAGGACCAGAATCATGTAGCTTTGAATAAAGCTTACCAAATAGCATGAATGATAGCAATACTTAAAAAAGTGCTCACTCAAACCCATGATAGATAGATATAGTTTCCGTTTTCACTCTTAGGCCAAGTTTTTGGAATATGTCTAATTTTTTTGTGAGAACAGCTAAAGTTTTAAGATAAAAATATTTACCTGAATTTTATTTTCCAGTCGTTTAGAACCATCACAAGTTCATAACCAATCTGATCCTGAAAGTGATGAAGAAAACGATGAAGGAGATTACACAGTATACGAGTGCCCAGGACTGGCTTCTGTAAGTTGGACCATCACAAATTCATGATTACCTTTCTCTCACTTATTTATTATTCCAAATTTGCAAGTTTCCTGTATCCCTTTCTTTCTCGTAAGTCGTCAATCATCAGCATTCTTCTTCCACCGAGTTCATTCAGTACTATTTTCCACGACCACGTCGTGAATGAGATTATTTTTTTGCAGTTTGAATCCAAACCAGTTTCTTTTTCTTTTCATGATCGTGCTCAATAGTGTTCTTTTTTATTAGTAGCATTTCTACAAAAACAATAAACACATAATATTTATTATAAAGAATTTCTTTTCTATTCTAGACTGGCGAAATGGAAGTAAAAAACCCAATGTTCTTAGACGAACCAACCCCTGCGACACCAAACGAACAAAATAAAAGTTCTCCGAAAGATAAAAATTGAGACAAAAGACATCAATACATCAAAAATCAGAAAAAACAAAAACAAACAGGTTAAGTAAAATTTAATTTATCACGAATGAATTGTATTTAGTTTGTTGAGAATAGTTATAATTTAAAGTTATCTTCCAAAAAAGGTTATAGACTGCTCAACTAAAAAATTGTGACCAAGATAGAAAAATATTATATTATTATAAAATAGACACATCAAGATTTATATTATTAGATTTGGAAAGAAATTTGATTCCAAAATTTGCTGATATGTGACTGTACTCCTAGTAGATGAAATTTTTATTATTGAACAAAATTGACCTCCAATTCCAATAGTAAATGACTTCACTGTTCTACTGGTATGATATTATTTTTTAAGCAGACATTTTCAAAGTTGCATTAAAAGTATAATTTCAAAAAATGTTTTCAATTAAAATAAAATAAATCTACGTAAAATTGATGAATGATGATTGCATAGAGTAGTAAGGATTAGAAAAACAATTTCCTCGTAATTCAATAATATAAATCGATATGTGTCAATACCACAGTCAATATATAGTATTGTCAATATATTGTTTAAACAACAAAAAAATTATAAACAATTTCGAAATGATTGTCAATTATTTTATATGTGATTAAATTAAAACAATTAATTTCCAAACAAAAAAGACTTCGTAGTGGTGAAAAATAGTATTTTGGCCATCTAAAAAAGATAAAAAATTATTTAGTTTAGTCACTTGGTTATGGCCATCATCAGGATAAAAATCTATGTTTTATTCTAACGAAAAAAAGTCATTAATTTTATTTTGTAAAATTAGTATTTTGCCATCTTCAGGATTATAAAAAACAAACAGTTGCATGCTTTAGCAAAAAATACAAGTACCACTTCAAAATAGTTTTTTGGCCAACTAAAAAGGCCAACAAGTACGTGTTTAGTTATATATGAAGAAATATATTGGTCCCTTGATTGTGGCCATCTTCAGGATTTAAAAAAAGTGAAGAAATATATTTTGGCACAAATTACCTATTATTATTTCCTCTTCTAAGTTTTGGTTGCTTAGTCATGGTCATCTATAGACTATTAACAAATACAGAATTTTTCAAATCTTGTTTTCGGATTTTTTAACGTTTCGGTTGCACAATAATAGTCATCATCAAATTTCTACAGAAACATTTTTTTAAATCCAACATACACGTTTCGATTAACAATGTACTGTCTTCATCAGTATTTTCCACATTTGTGATTTATTGGCTAATAATACCTAATAATTGTATATAAAGAAAACAAGTAAATAAGACTAAAATTCGATAAATCGAAACGTTTGAAATGTTTCTGATCCTAAGGTAGCGTTTTCGTAACCTCCAAATGGCAAACCAGAAAACTGATAATTATTACGTTTCGCCATTTGTTTATGAACAAATTTATGAATACTTATGAACAAATTGCATTTATTAAAAACAAAAACCCATATCACAAAATCTCTATAGAATAAAAAATAAACTATAAATAAATAATTCTATAAACAATATACAATCTTTATATAGCCTCTTATAAATATATATATGAATAATATCAAGAGAATATTATTAATAAATATCTATAACAATAAATATTCACACGTTTCGAATGTTAGAATTCTGTCATGATCAGGATATCCAGAAAAAATTATGTTGCAGAAATAAAATTTTAATTTGGCCATGCTCAGAATTTTTGAAAAGATGATTTTTTAGTCAATTAATTTGATATAAAGTAGCCCAATCGTCGAATTAAAAAAAAGGTTAAATAGAATTTTTTTATTCCATTAAACGTTTCGACACTTGATGTGTGTCATCATTCAGTAATCTAAAAAACATATTACATAAATACAAAAGTTTATATTAAGTATAAATATATAAAAGGAGGAAAAAACAATAGAAAAAAACAATTATGTAAAATTTATTGAACACTAAATTGTGTAAAAGAATAATATACTAATATATTGATAAACGAGGAATTAAACAGCACATATTGCCCTCTTATATTGTATGTGTTCAATCGCAGAGCATTATGAAAACTGATCAAGGTTACGCAGCACGTGTGGTAGAGTGTAACAAAAAGGAGTGAAAACAGAGAAGGGATATAACAAACGAAAAATTCTGAAAATGTAAAAATTACTTTTCATGAAATTTATATTAACTTTGTAACTGTCATGTAAAAGATGAGAGGAATTCCGTTTGTTGACACAAGAAGTATAAGGAATATAAGTAACGATACAACTATCTTTCTAAGGTCACAATTCTTTTCAATGTACGATGGTAGGATTTGACATGTTGAAAGTATGGTTCAAGTTAATCATATGTTCTGAAAGCATAGTTTTGAATTGATTGGGGTTTCTAGAATTTTCTCTTTTAATTCTAGAATTTTTCTATTTAATCTTTTTTTTAATTCGATGATTGGGCTGCATAAAATATGTCAAATATGTATCAACGTTGACAAAACTATCATATATAATATATATATATATATATATATATATATATATTCTTGTCAAAATATTAAATATTTATTACTGTAATTCCCACTTACGTTTCGACAATCGGTTATCGGTTTGGTTAAATTTTAGTATTAAAAGGACTGCAGAATTTCCACCTTCCACCTTCCACCTTCCATTTTCCATTTTCCATTCCCAACAAAACTTTGTCCTAAAAAAATCAAATATGGCTTTAAAAAAATTGATGTATATATATTAAACGGCAGGTACAATTTTATGTTGAATCAATTCGATAGTGGCACAAATAAATTGTTTATAATAATTTTTAACAAGCCACTGTTGAAATTGAAGAGGTGATGTGTTGGTTTAATATATTTCAATTAGATTAATATATCTATATTTTTGTGTGCGTATGTTTAAGTATATATATATATATATATATATATATTATATATATATATATATACCTATGTAAGTTCCAATATAAATTAGATTTATTGAATATTCTATATATTTTATGATCCAAATATTATATACATATTATTATATATTATATGAATAAAAGATGTGATGTATAAAATATAGTTTGTCTAAATTTTTTATGCCAAATTATTATTTTTAATACCATGACTGCTGAAAACCCTACTCTGTACCGGTCTTAACATCACTCTTTTACTCCTGTCAATGGAGCGTTTTGGGTCTGAATTTTTTTACTGTGCTCCAATTTGCATCAAATTTTGGAAAGAGGTTTATCTTACCCTCAAGTTCAAAAGTGAAAACAATTTGGACTCCCCTCGAGGGGATAACATCTCTTCTCAGTTGTGTAATTTTATTTTTTTAAAATAACGTCGGAAATCGATAGAAGAACTAATTATAAGAAAAAAATGTCTTTTAAATTTTTTAAAAAACTAATACTTTTCAAGTTACTTGCTACTAAAAATGTATATATTTTTGGCGTTTTTTTCGTTTTTTTGCAAATATCCCCTAAAACATACAATTAAGTCGAGTATTTATCGGAATTGCCTTAAAGCTAAATGCCACTTGGACCTAGTACAAAAAATAGATTTTTACAATAAGCAAAGGACGGTTGGCTTTAGTAATTTATTTAGTGTGTGATATTTTTAGGACGACATATGTTTGTCCTAGAAAATGCTAAATGCTGAATTATATAATATAATAAGCTATCAGTTGGAAAATTATTTGATTAATTATTTAATGGAATAATTATGGAGAGGACTTTAGCAAACTGACATGCACACACAAACATAAATACAAATACAAAAAAAAATTATATTACAAGCATTGTACGTAACGAAGACAAAGTTTTACTAATTTATTAAAAATATTTTGTTACTTATAGAATGCTGCAATTTTACAAAGTTATATTTAAGTATGTTTTCTATTACAAAAAATAATAAAATCGATTAGATGAGATTTACAAAATTTCAAGATATTTATAATATAAAAAATACATTGCTTAAATTTTTATAAAATAATAGTAGAAATGTTGTAATTATTGAAGTAAAACTTCTTTAGTCCGTTACGCTCGAACTGTTCGTCATTCGCTCTCGATGAGATCATTTCTATACGGGTCGATTGTGATTAGTCGTCGTGTATGTAAATAGAGATCTGACGTTGTATGCGTACCGGCATCAACGTTGTATGCGTACCGATATCAACAAGGAAATCGGCGAAGATAAATAAACATTATGAAGTACATCTGTTCCTTCAAAATAATAAAATAAATTAAACATTTGTGCCGTATACTAATCGTAAGTTTATTGATTAGAATTTATTTCTATATTATTAGTAATTTCTATAAATCTTTGAAGTTATTCAAATGGAAACGAATTTTTAGGCAAGATAGATATTACAGCTGTTCAAAGAATGAGATTATATCGCCAGCGAAAAATAAAAAAAATACAAGCAGTCAATGAATGTATGTTAATTTTAATTACATGAAGTTCTTCAAACACAATTACATGATGAGTGAAGTTGCAAAAACAATATTTTGGTGTTTAACATAATCCACTGTGCGAACAAATATTATAGATTTATTAATCAGCAATTACTTCATTTCTCTAATGAAGGTTCATTTCTAAATGCTAATTACAATGACAAACCGATCATTTCAATTTCTAAGAAAACTCATCAATTTTAGTATTTACCTTTATAGTAGATATATTGAAGTATAATATACTAAAATAACAACATTGTGCAACAAACACAAACATTTTTTAAAAAATCTGTAAAACTTCAATCATCTATCATTTTTGGCAATCCTTTACCTTTTTCTTTAGAAAATCCAATCCCTTTGCCTTCGGTTACCTTCGGCTGCAATCGGTTTGTCCATCCCTCAATCCCAACCCTTAAATTGTGCTCGTATTCATTAAATTTTCAACAAAAAGTCCACTTTTAATATCCCACATTTAAAATTCATGAAGACGACATCGAAATTCAGTTCGTCCATTCAATGTCTATCGTTCGTTCTGTAAATCGAAAGTATCGATAATGTTTATAAAATTTAATTAATTAAATTAAA